ACAACTTGCAGTTACGCTATGGTAGGGCCAGAGGGGGCAGGGGATTTTGGGCTATCGGGATAGCATCTAATTATATGTCGTGTCCCAGACCGGTCTTCTCTAAGTAGGGGAGGACACTGCCCAGGATGATTTTTCTTCTCGCAGCGATGATAAGGTTCAGCAGATTCCCCCCCCCCCCCCCCCCCCCCCCCCCCCCCCCAAGTTCGTCTACACCATTATTGTATTGTGTTGTTGGAAAATAAGATTATTATTATTATTATTACTCGGGGAGTTGTCATGAGCTGCGTTATTGATTTTTTTAATTGTCCTTTAACTATAGTTAACCTCTGAGCGGGGTATTGAATAACTTTTTTTATTACCGTTTGCAGGAGCAAGCGATTGCCAGTTTTTGATGCCTAACTCATATTCGCGGCAAAGTTTTTTTGTTCTTTTTTTTTTATTGTGAAACTTTTGCTTGCGTTCAACTTTTTGCAACCGGGCCTTATATATCTTGGAAGGTTATAAATTTAAAAAAAATGGAGGGGGAACGGGGGGGAGAGGCTCGCTATTTCTATTTGCGCTGCTTTAAATTCGTGTTCATAAGCACGTGAAATATTCGCCCTTTCGATTCAATAAGCTAAAAAAAAAGGTGAAAAAAAAAAACAGCAAGGTGAAAAGGCATTAAATCTGCGCAGCTAGCGGTATGCCCACCCACTTTGTACAACTCGGCAACCAGCGAGAGATATTACTGAAATAAATTCCGCTGTTGCGAAGTCGCGGTACAGATCGCTTAACACGTTCTTTTAATAGTGCAGTTGAGTTGTTTTCAAAATGGCGAAGCCTCGTAGAACATCGCGAACCCTCTTATTTTTTTTTTTTATTTCTTCATAGATACTTTAAAAAGTTACATAAGGGCATGATCAAAAACAACGCACCGGAACAAGCAAAACATTTTAATTAAACAGTCTGCCTCCTATGCTGGATGTGGCTTTCGACATCCCGCTAGTAAGAGACCCTTTTCTAACCCTATCAAGCAACATTGGCTGGCGCCATTTTTGGGGCACGATCCGTCCGATTGGATGCTTCTCTTGTCCTTCTCGTCCAGGTAGAATTATCGAATTTAATTTAAATGAGTATCAGCCATTAGTTTGGCACGCTCGGACTGTAATTTACCACCAAGGTGCACGGCTGGTTGGTGGATTTACTCTTCCGAAATTACCAAGTAGCAGACTTCCTTCATTTAAAAAGCTAAAACTAAAACGTTAATTTCCCTAGTGATCAATTTCAAGTTAAGCCTTTTCCGTGTCAATGTGCACAACGCAAAAGTCCATTGGGTTCAGGTACCGCAGTTCGGAGCTCGAAACTTGCACGCATCGACAAAATACCAAGTTACTGGTTAAGCGCTGAAAACTATTTTATTCACTGTATTAAATGGGGAAGTAGCAACGCTTCGCGAGAATTTTTTTTTACTATATTTATATAAATAAGACGACCATTTACCTAAGAGATCAAGACCGCTGCGCACTTAACTTCATATTCGATTGCAAGTCTCTTAATCTATGAGGTTCTTCGACGAAGCCTGCTACGCTCCAGTTTCCAATATTTTTTTCCTCGGGTTCATCAATTATGACTTTCACCATAATCGATGGAAATAAAATATTTCAGTATTATTTTATTACTATTAGGTCCGATCGCAAACAACGCGACGATCCGATGCAACCAATCAAGCAACGCCAGATGCGTTTCGTCACGGCGCTCGCCGCTTTTGTTTCTTTCCTCTCCAAGCATAAACCAATCACGCGAAGTAAATGTCTCATCATCGTGCGCTCTTTTCTTTTTTGTTTCTGCGTGATTGGTTTAGCCGGTGATAGTGGAGACGCACAACGACGCCGAGCGTCGAGAAGATAAACTTTTTTATTTAGCTTGCTTGGCTCCATCGAATCTTAGGTATACACCAACAGAGTGTTTCCAAACAAGCCCGCTTGGCCTACGCCGCGTGTGCCCACGCGCCAAATTCGAGAGGAGTGAAGCGTCTGCGCATGCGCAGTACCGACAGCAGCGCCACCGCAGTGGTGTGACGTCGGTGAGTTCAGTTGGTGTATATAGACCTCTGCAAAAAAAAGCGTGGGCCATTCCACTCTGTAAAGGTGGATGACCAGCGAAGCTGTTTAGCACACGACAGATACCCGCCCCGAGGAGCAGGAGGAAACTAGACACGCGGGACGGGACCTCCTCCCGCGGAAAGTAGACGCGCGCGACGGGACCGCCACCCCGGGAGAGCGGAAGGAAAGGAAACTAGGCACGCAAGCGCTTGGAACGACGACAAAAAGGGGGCGGTGTGTGCGCTGAGACATGTCCGACGCGCGTCGCACAGCGGCAAACTTCTTTGAGAAACCTTTATTATTTACCTGAGAATCTACTGATCTTAAAAATGGTACCTATGGATGAATAATCTACTATATAGAAGACCTATTGATGACTAATCTACTGAATAGACCTATCGCTAAATTACCCGAGCATCAAGGGGAATGCAGGGAATGGTGTTCCACGCGCTGTTCAGTCACTGTTCTAAAGCGAAAGCCTAAATTGGTGACGCACACGAAAAATCCACGGAACCCTAGTCATCAAAAACAGCTTCGCTGTAAAATCGCCGTCTGCGCGCTGCCATCTTTGTCTGCTGCAGGCTGTGGAACGCCTTCTGAGCATGCGCTGTTGCTCTGTTGTACAACATATCAGATGCTGCAGCCCATCCGTCCACATCTCAATGACTCAGCATTTTGCTCCCGGGTGATAAGCGATGGAAAGGTCTGTAAGCTGCGTTCGTACTAAATGTGAGATGGCAGGCCAAGATATCCTAATAAACTCGGAACGACAATATGCAAAAAAAAAAAAAAAAGGTAGATTGGATACGGTTTTGGACGTGTAGGTAATAAAGCTGCGGTACATTTTCCCTTAATTACTTCTGTGGCAGTAAACAACCCGAGTCGTGAAGGGAGGTTTAACGAGCCGACTGGTAGTTTGGAGGGCTTAGGGAAGCATATTCCCGCACGACGATGATGTAGCTCTATTACGCGAAACTGAAGCACCACAAGCTTCTCGGCTCGCTCGTGTATCCTTCGCCGACGACTCGATCATGCCTTGAGAGCAGAACCTGGCACCGAGTGCAACAACGTTTGCGTAGTTTAAACGATGTGTTCCGGTCGTTTCTATTGTGTTCTTTCTGAGCCACCTGCAGTCGATTGCTAGAATTGAAGAAAAGAACGCTGCCCAAGTGATGTTACAATCCTCTTAACCGATTCGCGGTATGTCCGAAACGGATTAAAAAATTGCGAAACGACCAACAAAAAGTGTGCTACGACAGGCAGCGGCAGCTGTTGCGTTGTTGAAAGTTGTTCTTTAGGGGATTCCGCTTTTAGTCTATGTGCTTCAGGATGTTGACTTACTAGCTCTTAGTAGAACAGTTGTAGGAGATGCGCATTAGGAGATGTGGGCTTTTAAGATATGTCCTTTTGGCAAGAAAATGCAACTGAGACGTGCTTTTTGGTTCAAAAGTTCTTATAAACCTTTTCAAAAAAAGGCTCCTGGACGGTTTCTTTACAGTGTTCTTGCGTATGGCGCTTGATTTGCTCGCTTTGCGAAGCAACGAACATCCGCGTGCTGGACTGAGGAGATGGCAGGCTGGGCTGAGCATTTGTAAATATTGGAACAGTGTATATAGGGTGTCACAAAAAAAAAAAAAATTACAGTGTTTTCTTTACCGCAAAAATAAACTAGGCATCACCGAACGCTCATTCTCCGCCCAAAGGTAGCGTTAGAGGTCACACTAAGATGCCAAAGTTTCAGCCTGGTCGGATACCTTATTCAAAAATTATACGTGATTTTCTGAAAATTTCAATGGGAAAATGAAGCCCATTTTCGCCCGTTTTCGGTTTCTGGTGCCATCGAGCTCCATGTATTTGAATAGCTCCGGCGTCCGCCATTTTCCCATTGAAATTTTCAGAAAATCACTTTTAACTTTTGAATAAAGTATCGAATCGGGCTGAAATTTTGGTATCTGATTGTGATTTCTAGCGCTACCTTTGGGCGGAGAATGAGTGTTCGGCGATGCCTAGTTTATTTTTGCGGTTAAAAAAAAAACGTGTAAATTTTTTGTTTTGTGACACCCTGTAGAACGCGCAGAAGGGTATAAACTTGGCCGAGTTGGTGGTACATCGTAGATATCTAAAAGCGCTAAAAAAGCACGAAGGACTTAGTTGTAGAAGGTGTCCATCCTTCTTCTTTTAATCCTTCGTGTTTCAGCGCTTTTAAATCTCTACTTTATAGAACGTGGTTTCGCGAGTCTGTAGGTTTGCAACAATAATTTCGAGTGTTTTGTTAAAGGTTCCAGGCTCCTAAAAAACAGCGGCGAAAGTTACACTAAAGTGGTTTGTGCTGATGAGGTATGCGGTCGGGAGGACATAATATAGGGAACTAGTCGTCACGATATGACGACAAATGAATAAAAAATTGATAAATTACATTTTTTAATTAAGGAATCTAAACATATTAACATATTGTTCCTATTGGAAACTTGCTGATCGTCATCGAAATCCACTAAATCAGTCAATTCTAGAAAGACCGCGAGCACGTGGGAAGCTCGGAGAAGGTCTAAAGTTGCCACTTACGCAACTGACGCAAGCTTGGCGGTACGAAAACGCGGATTATAATACCCGGGTTACCAGAACATTCTTAACCGCAGTTAAGTGCCGAGGTAAGACTAAACTGTGGTTAAGGGTACCCTGGTAACTATGGTATAGTTAGAAGTAACCGCTAACCATACTTAAGCGTGACCGCGGTTCAGGACGTGCGTCGGGCCACCTAAACCGCATCAGTTAAAACTTAAATCTGACCTCAGCCACACTTAACTGCGGTTAAGGGTCCTCTCGCAACTAGGGCAAAACTAGGGTGTAATATATCATCCGCGTTTTCGAATTTTAAACCGAAGCGCCTAATCCAATCCGTCGTTTTAAATTCCATCGCAGCGGGGTTCAAGCCGGAGGCCATGTCCATGGCGGACCCCGAGTCCTCTTCTTCGTGCAACCTTTCCGCCTACTGCACGCACCGGACGGACGGCTGTTTTCCCAGCGACACGGAATCCTGAGGGCACGCCATGACGGCCTCATCGCATCATCATCATATCTCTGGCGACGTCTGGCGGGGGTCGAGGCACCCTGCGACGAAGCGTGCGTGACTAAACTTCCTGTCTTGTGGGCGAACCAAAGGGAAGCGTACGGGAAAGCGAGTGTTGCTACTGACAGCTTCAGAAACGCGGGACGTGTCTTGTCCCGAGCGTCCTATTATCGATCCCCAGTCAATTCGATTGTATCATCATTCGATAAGTACAATAAAGAGCCGATCGCCGTGGCCTGCTATATACAGAGAAAGCCTGGCAGATCGCCACGAGAAGCGGCCGCCGAAATGGAAAAGGTGGAGCGGCAAACAACGGATGAGAGGAGAGCCACGCGACTGGCGCCCCGCTGCGGCGAGTCGCCGAAACACACTTCTTTCGAGTGAACGAGTGCGTTTCGGGTTCTCGCCGCTGCAAAAGCTGTGCGCTGACGTACAGGTTCTCCGAGAAATGGCTTTTTTATACTCTGTGCTACCAGATCCTCGCGCTCCCAATCTGCGTCCAGGCGCTGTGTGGCTCCGTCGTCGAACTGCTAAGCTTTGTGAGTATAGAGGAGGCTATGGGCTATCAGAAGGAGCGTGATAAAGCGTGATCATGATAGGCAACATTTTGGGTCTCTGAACCTGTCAGTAATTATAGACGTATTTACATCCAGAGTTTTAAAGGTTGTTCTGAAAAAAGCAATTCGAAAACAGATAAGGCGGCCTGAACTGAATTACGTTGCAAAGGCAGCTACGCTCGTATGAGCAACTTTCCTGAATGGTGGCATAATCCTATCAAGCTTGAATGATGCACCATGAACTTAAGCTGTTAGTCTTTTGTGCCAGTGTGTGCTCTCAATTCGTAGAAGTCTAGGCACCTCCTTCTACTGAACAAACCGGGGTTGTCTGGTACGGTCGGTTCCTTTATTGTAGATGTTTGTCTAACACTACAGATATGCCTGACAATCAACTCAGCCAGCCACTCAGTGCGATCTTCAGAGCTAGGAAGTCGGGCCAATGTCAAGGACTCAAAATGGTTTTGTCATAAAACTGGAATCAGTCGTATGTGCTGTCACATGTTCACGTAAAACTAACCCATTGTCCTGAGGCAGATCCTCTACGTGCGGCAAAACCTTCTTCGCGCTAGTCATTTCTTTCGACCTCTTATCGCATTAATTTTATTTTTGTGTCTACTGTCCTTAAATTAATGAGCCTGCACTTTTGTAGTGTATCATTCTCTATGTACTTTTAAGCACAATACATTAGTATCTCACTGGATCATATATGTGAACGCATTCTTGTGGGCGGGTTGTGCAAAGAGCTTTTCAATTGTAACCAAATTCATAAACGCGGTTACGCAAAGTTTGCAGTTCTTTCCAGCGGAAAGCAAAAACTTCCCAACGTTCACTGTTCCTGCTTGGGCCGAGGACCGAGGCAAGCAAGGTAGATTAATTGAGAATATTTCTTTAAGCACGGGATTTTATCTTCCGCAGGATCGCTGCCGTCCAGCACTGTCAAGGATGTCGCCCTCTAGGCTATGAATCGTCCGTGCTCCCAGCTCACACACACCGGGAGGCATTGCCCCTCCAGCCTCCTTGGGGTCGCACAGTTCCTCTCACGTTGCTGACCAGTGACTCACAGTGACCAAAGACAATTCGGGAACAATGACTCTTTGCTCGGCGCACCGACGAACCAAGTGCTCCGTTTCAGACTTAAAGCGGCGGTTGTGACATTGAACGCTGGACGCTCGACGTCCACTGCCTGGCGTCTTCCGGTGATAAGTGTTTTCTCACACGGTTCTGTTCGTCCAAAAAATACATCCTTATATATTACTGTATATATAATAATAAAAAAACTCCATGCTTTTTTTGTTGTTTTGTTTTTAATTTGTGAGCTGATCATTTTTACCGCTCCTTGACCTAAACGCCCCAGCATGACGGGACGAGACGGTCCCAAAATTGTGGAGATGAAAATTCGTCCAGTCTCAAGACTTCTAAATAGGGCACAGAATTAAGTTTAATTTTTTTCTTTTCTTTTTTTTTTTTTTTTTGCCTCTACAATTTAAAAATAACTCCGCTCTTGAAACGTTCTTTGACACCCCGGGAGAGATTAAGCGCGTGCGCACAAAGCCCTTTCTGGTGGGAGCGTCGTCTGCTAGGCTATTCCGTTGATCACACACAGACCCTGTTCTGTAGCACAGGAGGGCAGGTCGCTTGCAATGTCGAAGTGCATCGCCGATATGCCCCTCCTCTTGGAATGTGTTCTCAATCCTATTGACGGTAGCCTGTATAACACCGTGTTTCTATAGGCACTCGAGGAGGCATAACAATGTGCGCGCACCTGCTGGTCAAACAAAAGTCTGACTACCCAGGCTATATGACGACAGCAACAACACAGTTGATAATACAAAACGCCAAGCGGAAACCCTGTCTATACTCCGTTTTACTTTGCGTTGTACCGCAGCCGACGCTACGAGCCATCTTGGTCAGTTCGTCGCTAAAAGTGTGTCACGTGGCCTTGCCGTTGGGCACAACTGCACCTAAAAGCACGATGTCACGCGGCAGGGTGAAAGCACTGCATTGGTTTGGTGGCTCGTAGCATTGTTTGCGATATATAGCTTAATGCATCGTTGCATTGAAATTGTCGCGTCACCGTGTTTTTTTTTTTTTTTTTTGGTGTTCACAAAAGTAAACACAAACATGAAAAAAAATTAAAAAAAAAAGTAAATTAAACTCGAGATGACGCGCGGTTCATTCCACGCCTGAGCAGTATCGAGAAAAAAAAAATAAAAGCAAGCGCCAACAGATAATGAACAGGGGATGTGTGCGGTCAACGGAACAGCCTAGCAGACGACGCTCGCAACGGAAAGAGCTTAGTGCGCACGCGCCTAATCTCTCCCGTGATGCCGCATTTCTCCACGGCACAGCGCTGGCCGTCCCGGCCAGCGCTGTACAGACGCGGACAAGCGTGATAAATGTGCAAGGTCCTGGTGCATGATCAGTTTAGTCGATTACAACAAACGCGCAAGAATATGAGGAGTGCCATGACGTTGCATTTTTGGCGCCCTTTTAATAACCCCAGCGGCTCGTATAGTATCGGCTACGCTCTGACTTGAGGTGGAACGAAGTATGGATGTAAAATAAAAGACGAGAAAGAAGATTGCGAGACGTGACGAGGCAAGTTTATCGGGTGCCAGACGGCTCGCGAGCAACGAAACAGTCAGACTCCGAGTTTGTGACATAGAAGGCCGTTGGGACTTCGGAGGCGTGACGGGAACCTTAACGTTGCCAACGCGTCCGTCTGCGGCAAGTGTCGCATGAGTGCATTTTTGAGTGCGGGAACGTGGAGTCCCATGCATTACGATCTCTGTGTGCCGATGTGATGGGCAAATTATGCGGGAGAACCAAAGGTCGACATTTTATTCCCCCAAACGGACGGGCAACGTCGTGACTAATGAATTTGTGCAGTATTCCAGAAAAAACAAAACAAAAAAACGTTGAAGTTAAGAGCTCTTCGAAGGTAAGTCACGCCACTTCGAGGCTCTGTTTTTCTTTCTATTCTTGCACTCTCCTATTACAATGTGTACAGCAAAAATACGCGGGGCTAAACCACTACACTATTTTCTGTATTCTCGAGAATATATAGAAGGCATTTTTAGTCTATCGAAATGTTTTGAAACATCTTGTCAGTTTCAGCGCGCGAGTTTCCTGCTTAGCGTGTTTTGCTCTGTGTTCTAGCACCTTGTCTAATGAGTGATTAAATAACTTTGGTGCTGCCAGCCTCACTTTCTAGTTTTTGCATTATATTTCCGTAATATGTTTGTTAGGAGTTTAAAAAAACAAACATTTATGACATCAAGATTAACATTTTCACTATTCTGAGGTGATTGGCATATAAATCAAAGCACTTATAGTTATTTACAGATAGCCTTATATGGAGTTTTATTGCGTATGGATTTGTCCTAAGCAAACCAACATATTAAAATATTAAAATATCGACTGACTCTTTTTAGCAGCTTGTGTTGGTGGATGACCTCGGTGAGCATAAATCACATAGGTTCAGCGTTTTCAGATTGTTTTATGTAGAGCTTGAATATTTTTAGTAACGCACTAGCTACAACACTAGCTCAAAAAGATAGACACATTAAAACCTCAGTGACAGGATTCAGTACCGCCTAGCCTAGGAAAATTTTGAGCACGACTGCCTAGGCTATGTTTGGCGGAATTTATGGACATCTGATTATCTTGTTGAAATGTATCTTCTGCAACTTCGAAAAACAAAGTACGGCTTGTGTCTTGGAGACACAGAACGCAGCGAAATCATCACTCGCCGAATCAGTAATATGACTTGAATTACTTCACCGATTAAGCAAATATTTAAGCCATAGACAAGTCATTTTTATTAATACTTCGTGATTTACCATTGCTCTCGGTTTTATTTACAATATAAATAGTTATAATGTAACTTTGGGTCATGAAAACAGAAGAAGAGTCGCGCTCTTTTTCAGGTTAAACTCAATTTATTATTGCCTATATAATCTTTAGCTCGGAGTCTTTCTCTAAATCATTATATGTATATCACTTTCAGAGATCCTCCAGAACGTTGTTTGCTTACGCTGTATCGGTGAGGTTCAAGTTCCTTCGTTTGATACGCCAACTAAAATATTTGCAGTGAACTGGGTTAACGTCCTAAAAGTTTCCTCATTTTGCCGCCATCAGCGCTCGGGGAACTACTGAGCACTTTTCGGAAAAAACCGCGCTGCTTGTGAGACACGCACACACACAACAGCAAAGCAAATATTACTACGTCCCAACTGGGCACTTGATTAAGCACCGGCGCCGACTGCAGTGCGTGCTCAAACATTAGTTTGACAAACACAGTCGTTTACGACACTCACCTAAAGAGAATTAGGCGCCTAGCGAAGGATAGCGCTTGTTACTTCGTTTACACTTCTGAGTGGGGTGTTGGCAAAGAGCGACGGCGACAGGAACCCGCGTATAGACCTTTTTCGCAAGGGCGCCGCCATCTTCAATTGTTGTCACTTCCAGTATGGGCGAAAACATTGTTTTTCCGTCGCCACGCCAATAGAAGGCATTTAGGAAATAAACGTAACCGTCACACATTCTCGTTTTTCCTCCCCTAATTTTTTTTCTACTATTGACAGGTTGAAACGTTCTGATATTTTTTCGTCGCCCATACCGGATATGCCTACTTGGCGGCCGGGGACGAGAGTAAGCGGAAAAGGTCTATTATAAGGTTGCGGTGATCAAAGGCTGAATGAACTGCACGGAGCGAAATAAAAAGCGACGTATTTCGTCCCACGGCGTTCGCTCTACACGTGATGTCAGAAGATCGGCTGTTGCTCCCCGCGCAAGGCGAGCACGTCGCCGGGCGAATTTCGTCGGTTCTTCGCGGCATAATCGCTGCATGGAGTTCGGCCTTTCGAACCTTCATTGCTGCGGGACAATTGAACTCTTGGTATCGGCGATGTTGCCGAAGAAATTAACTTCTAAGTTTCCAATTAGTTTTTTTTCGGCATGCCGGTAGTAACCATGCCAAGGTATGCCTTCCCTTATACGAGGAAAAAAAAAAAAAAAGAAACTGAGGGAGACGTGTAGATGAACGCGTGTGGTGACATCAGGGCGCAGAGCTATGATTGGAAGGATTAGTGGGTCGACGCGAAAGCTAGCTTTGCCTCGTCGTCTGCTCCTCTCACGTGGTCTGGCGTCCGGTAGAGACCAAGGACGCAAACCGAAACCGAAAACCGCTTAGGAACAAATTTCTTTTAGTAACCGAAACCGGAACGAAACCGTTATTTGAACAGTATGAGAACCGTAGCCGTAATTGTAAAGAATTTACCGGCAACCGAAATAAAAATATTAGTTTGTTTTTCTCAAGAATGATCTCGAGGAGGGATCTTGAAATGTCGTGGCCATTCGTCAGGCTTACTATCAGCGAGTGGTGCACCTTGTAATACATTTCCGTTCAATCTAAATTTAGGAATAAGAATACTTGGTTGGAATCTGTTGTCGGGCTTATAATGAAAAGTCTCTATTTCTAAATCTGCCACACTCTTACAATCGCCACATCTATTCAGTAAGTGTCGCCTTCAGGGTATTAACTAATAAGTTAGAATTCTGAGATGTTCATTCAAATCGGTTCTTTCAAAACCGCCGATGTTTCTGACCTTCAGTAGCCAGTATCAAGAAATGAGGTAAAATAACCATCATGCAGACCTGGTGGAAAACAAAACCTGGTTTTCATTTCGTGTAAAACATGTCACGAGTGACAGTTTTAGAATAACAAAGAAAGAAGAAAAAAATTCTGAGATCTGACGTTAACGTGTCGTATAAAGTCAATAACAGATATACGGGTTTCCCAAGTCACCAGGCTGGATCTAAAATGAGCCGTAAAAATTGACGACTGCATGTAGCTATCTGAACTTTTCGTCAAAGGTGTATTTGACTGATCGTTTTTTTCTTGTAAAATTACAAAGCATAGCTCTCTTTCTGTAACAAATAGGGCCAAGAAACTTGCAAGGGTCAACGGCGGGAGGCGACCCAGACGAGGGCGTCGAGTTGCTGGATCTGCTTGGCGTTCATATTAATAGATGGCGCCCGGAGTAGCGTCCGAAGGTGTAGCCGACCAGCTAAAGAAAGCAGACGACTCACAGACGAAATCCGTTGGCAGCAAAAGCTCGGTCGTTAAGCAAACGATATGAGAAAACTCCCCTAAAAGCTTCGAGGTACGTTTACTTCTCTATACACTTTTCGTCGTCCTACGCAAGTTTCTCTCTCTCTATCTCTCTCTCTTAATATATATATATATATATATATATGATCATCATCATCATTTATTAAACCTGGA